AGGAAAAAAAAAAAAATCTGAGATTTATTTAGAGGCAGGAATCTAAAAATGTCGCAGCGGCGTCTGGAGCCGGGCTGTGAAGGGACCGTGTGTGCGGGACCGGGGCGCTGCCGGCGAAGGAGGGGGATTGTAAGACGTGGGGTTTGGCACAGCTTGTGCGACGTCCCTTTATTTTGCTGCCCTGGTTTTAGTGTGGTTAATTATGAGTAACACCAGTGAAATCCATCAGACCCATGTTCACCTAGAGACACTGGAGAACAGGAAACGAGTGAAGGAGCCGGTGCTGCGCAACAGCACATGATCCGTGCGTGCGATCTGCATGGGATGGTCCTGCATTTCATTAAGCGTTAATATGTCTGCTGCCTTGGGTTTAATGGAAAAGGAGCATGATTTATTTACAACTCGGTTGATTCATGGCAAGGGAAAAAAAAAAAAAAGAACTAGACTAAGTATCTCGGTGAAAGACATACACAAAGGATATCCTAGAGCAGACTCTTGAGCACTTCCAGGTGAAATACATTATAAATGTATTATGTATTAATACAAGAATAAGGTTTCTGCTTCGTGAAGGTTCTTGTGAGGAATAAATGGCTTGCCTTTCAAAGAAAAAAGCAAGCAAGCCTGGATCTGATTTTGACAGAGTTAAGAACTACCAAAAATGTCACTACAGAGCTATCTTGCTAGAGCTTCCTAGATTGAACCTTTATAATTATTTAACCTTTCCAGATTTATGTTCATTATACTATGTAACAATTTGTTCTACTTTATGAAAAATTTATTTCTTGGGTAAATCCACATAATGCCTTTGTTTTCTTAAGAGTTGCTCTTCACCATTAAAACCTCGCCTGTAACATGGGATTATGAAGATGGCTGTTGTGTTGCAGAGCAAGATCTCATCTTGCAAACAGATGACACGAACAGAGAACTTGCACAGACCATGCCTGCCTTCTGTGCTACTCCATCCACATCAGCAGGATCCCTATGTAGGTGTAACTTTTGCTTACATGTCTGCAATATTACTTACATTCAGTGACGTGTTTTCATGAGGTTGTAGTACACAGAATCATAGGATCATATGGGAAAGGGAGTGGGGTGAAATTGTAATCCCAATGAAATTTAACTGTGGAGTTTCTATTAACTTCAGTGAGGACAGTTTTACTACAAATGAAGAGAACAGGAGGGCTGCTGCAGCACCCTAATTGATACAGAAACCTCAGTTTAACTGAGAAGCTGCAGCAGTTTACACTTTATATGCACTTCTGTATCCCAGCACTTTCCTTGATGAGATTATATGGTCAGCAGAACTCCCACAAGTGTTCATGACTCTAAGAAGCCATTTCAAGGTGGTAACAAAGATTAATTTGAGGTTATGTTCCCAGGGGCTTTTACACAATGAGATTTATTTCAACACAAGAAGTCACGAAAGTAAAACTGTGGATTAGGCTGGTTGTACAAAGAGCTTTCAGCTGATGCAATGGAACAGCATTTCATCAGTCATTGATGAACTTAAATATGAGATGGAAATCTACAGATAATAATTATGAAACATATGCCACCTAAACTTAATCTCACTTAAACAACACATCTCTACTGAGCAAAATATATTTTATTCCCAGTTGTTAAATGTGTTTCACTTATTTGTGCAAAATTAGGTTGATTTATTTCAAACCTAGTCACTTTTCATCTCCCAAGTAATGTGGGAGAACTTGCCTGACTGGACAGAAAACAGTGAAAAAATCCCACTGAAACAAGTAGAACAATCATTTTCTTGTATTAGCACACCAGTGTTTTAGTGTGGAATGCAGCTTAATTTGTTCAAATTGGTGCTGACCACAGAATATATATTATGACATTTGCTTAAGATAGTGGCTGTGTTTTTAAGAAATAATGACTCATTATGGCAAGGCTGTCTGCTATGAAATTCTTCTTTTGTTCCCAACGTACATACCAACAGAAAGGTCACACTTGAAAGGGCTGTTATGCACAAACAACAAGGATGTCTAAGATCTAAATTGGGCAGTGATTAAAGAGATATCAGAGCTACATAAATCTGTGCAATATAAATACTACAGAAAGTCATGTTGGGTCACCCAAGTGGCCATTTGGGTGAAAAAAAATCTCAAGTCTCCCGTAAAATTTAACTGTGTTATCACCAAAAAGAAAAACATACCAAAGCACTCAGAACCAGTTATGTGAGATCCTCTATCCACAGCTATCACAAATATGCCAGGGTATCTGGTTACATCATCACCATCTTGATCGAGTGTTGTGTAAGAGAACCCAACCGTGTTACAGTCCTTAAGGAAGCCATAAAAAAATTCTAAAAACCCTGCTGAGTTTAAACACGCTGGTAACTGCAGTAGCTGATTTTGAATACTCAAGCTTAAGGGTCCAGTTCTCAAATCTGGCAGTTTGTAAACAATTATTGCTACTTTTTTATTGCAACATGGAGTAAGTAAGCAAAGAGTTTGTGAGCAAAAATGATGGTCAAACCTAGCAAGTGCTGATTGCTTACAGAAAAAATTTGTAAATTTTTGGGGGTTTATTGCTGCATCTGCTGGGTAGTGGAAATACCCTTCCTGAACACAATGGAGGACACAGGTCAAAGGAAGAAGAAAATGTAGGTCGACACAAAAATAAAAAATGGAGTCTAAACCAAAATACCTCAGCAACATGGAAAAGCACTTGGTAGTGACTGTATTCAGAATTCAAATCACAGGATAACAAGCAAATTTAACAGCACATGTGCAGCCACTCACGCTCTCTACTTCCATAGGGTCTATTTACATTGTGGGTATAAAGTCCCACAAAACACATAAGGATGTGATTATGCACATCCCACTGAAATCGAGGCAGCTCCTTACATTGGAAGCTGAACATATGTACAGCCTTAACTGCACTGGCATGGAAACATGAAATAAGGGTTGCTCAGTAACACCCCCCTCCACCCCCTAGGTCTGAGCAGGCCGAGACTGAGCTCCAAGGCAGCAGCACCACCTGACCATGGACTGCAGCGGGTTTGGAGGCTGCCATGGTGAGCAAGGGGAAGAGGCAGCAGGAATAAAGCAAACTCCAAAATGACAGTTTTACTGGCCTGGGACTAAAATCTTCAGCATAATTAGAGAAAAGACAAGTACAGAAAGCAAAGTATATCTTGGCAAATAAGCACTTGTATCTGCTGGTACAACATGTGGTGTTCTGCACAGGCAGCTGGGGACAGACAACAGGGAACATCACTGGAACCAAAGTGGGAAGGTGAGCCGGGAACTAGTGCACGAATCTGAGAATCACAATTCTGATGGCAACGTGCAATTACTACCTGGCAGCAGGCAGAGTGAGCCCAGCTCTCCCACCGAGAGCAGAGGCAGCAGAGCCAACTGAGACAGATCCTGCCATGCAGCTCTCTGTACCACAGCCAGGAAGGGATTAGCCTTTACTCTTGCTGTAATGCCTCCAGTTATTACAGCTAAGATTTGGTACTACATATGCAATTATTATAACACAGATACACTTTGCAATCTACCTTCCCACAGATTTAGAGGCTTTTAAGACAGTGATAATCCTTTCTGTCAATATCTTAATTAACACTTCACTAGTGGATTAGCTTGTAATGTATTTTACCTAGTTCTCTAACCTAGTTCTAAAATATATTTTTAGCACTTTGAAAATAATAAAGTAACAGCTAAACTTTCAAAGTCAATATTAACATCTCTATATGGAAATTTAGTTCAAACAATTGCTGTATTTTTGAGAAAGCAAGGGGTACTGCCCAGAGTGATGTCATTTTACTCTTACTCCATAAATACACAGTTCCTGCTCAAGTAAATTAATTTACTACCTCTCAAAAAAAATACAATCTTCAAATACAGACATAATGTTTTACAGCTGACAAC